AAAACAGTTTTGCCCAGACGGCAAAGGAAGAGAAGGGCATTTGAAGGAGATTGTACACTGAAGGAGAACAGAGACTTCTGGGACAAACGAATGGCGTCAGCGCTGACGTCTAAGGAGCTTCCAAAAGAGACGGACTTGAGTATAGTATACATACAATCATTATAATAATATTAATAATTGTTTTCATACACTCAAGCTTTGTTTTTCACGTGCTGTGAAATATTTAAAGTGTTTATAAGACACAAACAATTTGTTGTATAGAGCAAGATTTTTTATTACGAGTCAAATTTTTGATGCCTTTGATGTCACAACCAATAGCATGTATTATAATGAACACCGTCAACACCCATAGTAACGTACATGAAACGCAAATGTGAGGCATTAAATTATTCGTCTGAATGTGTAGCTTTAAGAAAATCTTTTAAAAGTCGTCGTAGTGGAGGAAAATTATAACATGTGTTAAATTTCGTACTCTTGTAAACGATACCACCTCAATAAAAGTTACGATAAGCAACACTTCTTAAATAACCCGCACTTTTCGCTGCAAATTCGAAATATCATTTGTTTTCGCCGCGTTGCCCTTCGTACTAATGATACTTTTGATGTAAAAAGTCACGTTTTCCCAACTTACCACTTTAAAATATGCATACACAAAAATCCATGATTACACGCGTAAGGACCACGACAAAAAAAAGGAGATGATATGGTAAAAAAAAAAACTTGAGAGTCGAAATGAGGTCCCCAGTATACGTACTTTTTGTAAATGCACGCATCGTATAAAGGGCTGTATCATTCATTAGCCACCCACCTTCCTCATCCCCCTTGCCAACTCGGCCCACTCCGAAATAAATTATACACGCAGGCGTGTATGCGTTGTATTCGCACAGCAGCCGAGAGACAGACGGACGGACGGAAATTATCTTTTTTTTTTCTCTCTCTCTTATTTGCCTGCTTCATGCATTTTCGCGTCACCCGTTCGTTCTGCGTGTCTCGTCCGACGCTGACAGCAAAGACAAGAGGGAAAGAGACACATGCTCGCCGTGCGAGATCGGGTCCCCGTTAAAATCCAAGGCGGGCACTCTCACTGCTGTCAACGGTGTTTGTAGGGTGTATATGTGCGCTGCCGATGATACTACCAACGACGTCCCGAGTCGCGCGTCTTGAATCATTTATGAGCCGATGACGGGCACGACTCTGTCTTTCGATCTCTCGTCCTTCTTTTGCGACCCCTGTTCGAACTTTTCCTCTTTTATTTCCTCCGTATCGGCCTGATGTTGTCGGATTTCTTTGCTTGTCATATTGATAACAGGATTAATTCCTGTTCGTGATTCTGGTACAAAGAGATCTGCGTATACGAGTGCATAACAGTGAAAGTCACGAGTCATCGTTGATTGAAAAATCTTTTTTTTCTTTTCTTTTTTTTTTACAACAATGACGACGACGATATTTGACACTTCCATCAGTGATGGTAGAAGTACTGTGTTTAATGATTTGGAAAATTGATAATTTATGGAAGGCAATCATGGACATCCCGACGCACAATCGGTATTGTGAACCAAAAAGATTTAGCTTCATCGGGGCGTTATGAAATGTCGACCCATACTGAATATACATTAAATAGTTAATACATGTTATGGGTCATTGAAGAGTTGTCTATGAGTCAGATTGATTTTTTACGCTATACTGAGAGAAAAAGATTATAAATATTACTGTGCTGTAACAATAATTTAGTGGTGTTCCGTCGTCCATGGACTTTTTACACTGTTTGGAACAGTAATTTTTATCATCATTACAGTAATTTTTACTGCTCGTGCAATAAAAACTACTGTCTAGGATGTAAAAAGTTAAATTGCCGATAATAAAAAGTCTCTAGATGACATAATGACAGCGGATTACAATTATTGTCAGTAATTTTTATAATTATTTTCTCTCAGTGTACTCAAATTTAAACTAGCAAATGAGACTTTTTCTGTATTTTTTTCCATTCTTTTTCTGCATTCCAGGTCCTCGTACAGGTCTTACCTCTGCATATGGGTGCTATGTAAAAAATACGTATGAAAACATACTAAAAGCATACATATGAAATGGTACATTACGTCACTAGGGCACAAAGTACAAACATGAGCGCCCGAACGGCACGCTTGTTGTAGGTTGGTGCCCGAATCGCGTATAATGTTTTTCTTACCGATGGCGCAAAGAGCAATTTTGCGCCCGTGGGCACACTTTGCGTCCAGTAAATCACTTTGGGCCCAGAGGGCACGAAAAAACTTTTCTGCCCGTGGGCCCAAAGTGATTGCAAGGGCGCAAAGTGTGACCCGAGGGCGCAAAGCGGCAGTTGCACTTTGGGCCCATGGTAAGAAATGGTAGTTTTCCTACGAGTTTGAAAAGTCTCTGTTTGCGAACCGAGAGGTTTGCGGCCTGAGCCGAAGGCGAGGGACGTAACGAGGTTCGTAAGGAGACTTTTCGAACGAGTTCCGGAAAACTGCTTTTTCGCCCGAGGAAGTACCAGCCTCCCAAAACCACCCGAGGGCGGAAAAATGTTTTGAACAAGCCATTGAGGATTACACTTTTTTAGTTTATTTTTAATTTTTCTAACATCAAGTTTGAAAAAAGCTCGTTAATTTTTTTTACTCTTTACCACTTATAACTTTGCGGTTGCTAAGCGTCAGATGATAATCAGCTGATAATCACCAGACATTTTGGCAAGTGTTAGAAAAGCTTAAATACCTTTATAGAAACTTCCAAGAGAGTACAGTCTTTAATTTGTACTTCAGATAATTTACCAAGTGCACAACTTTTTGTGCTCACTTTTTTTTCGTATGGAAGCTGACCATCGTTCATGCAATAACTTTTTTTGCTATCTTCTAAGGCAGGCTGTAAGTGTACAGAAAAAATTTCTGCTCTTGAGTGAACCCTAAAAAGTCGCTAACACTTACGGAAAATTAGAAAATGGAGAGCACTGAGTAGGCTTCCATTTCTTTTTTCGTATGCTCGATAAAATCGCCATCATGAAAATCCATTCCATCGTACATCATGTTCATCTGATTAAAATGTATGAAAAAAGTCTTGGTTCGTCCGAACCAAAAATGCTACAAAACTCCCTTTTACATTTGAACAAAGGGAGGAACGCATTGTCAGCTACACACGAGGAGCTGCAGGGAATCATTTCACATGCGACACTCGATTAACCCGCACGAACGTGAAACTTCCATTTCTCGTTGTAACCTTCCATTTCCATTATTGCATTTCGCTTGGCTGTCCTGTGCATAATGCAAGCCCACAAACGTATGCACATACGACGGCATATCTACAACTTGTGCGCACATGGTATGGTACGCATTGTCTGCACGCATTTGGAGTGGTAGTAGAGGTTACGCATACACATAAATTAATTAGTCACGAATTACCTGCTAGCAGGCCGTTATTTTGGTAGGTGGTAGTTGATGTGGGTTTTGTTTCGGAATCGTTTAACATTTCTTAGCTAAATGACATTAATGGAACATCGGTTTTGCATCACTTTTAAAAGGTGTACAACAAAAATGTGTTTTCAATTTTCCTAAGAAAAAACTGGGTCAGTTGTAATATGGAATTTACTGTACTTGCATCCAAAGATGAAGTTTCACTAAAACACGGAGGGATGATAATACATACCACTTTTTGAAAAGAAAAAAAAATCAAAAGCATGAATTAATACCTTGAAGTAGAAAGGAGCAACTTTTCACAAAATCCAGGATAATGCGAGTCCGTAAAGGTTGGCGAGCCCCACTCGTTAAGTGCGGATTACGTCACTCATTGCACGTCGACGGATACTAAAGATCATTCGAAGATATGGGTTTTTTTTTATCGGTAAATTTTTACGACGATCGTAGCTGCACAGTGGCTCCATACTTACACCCAAGCGATGCCCGTCGATATCTCGTTCACTTTTATTTTCATGGGAGCACAGAGGTCGTGTAATAAGAAATTTTTGAGATAACGTCGCTCGTAAGTATTTTGATACTATGACCGTAAGAGCGAAATTTTTGGTAAATTAAGAACGATCATTGGTCTAGAAAAGTGATAATTAGAGTCCCAAGAGTACTGTGGTGAGTTTTATTTTTAAAAATTGAAATAGATGATACCTGGATTTTTAATGTGAAAAAGTGGTATCTTCATTTTTGCTCAATCTGGATGAATAAATATTACTGCAGTAAAAGAATCGTTTCTATTAATCATCCAAATGACTGTTCCAATGAGAAAACCGTCCAGAAATAAACCTTTTAAATTTTAAAAATGTAAAGCTTTAAACTTTTTCTTTAACTAGAAAACTAAAATGCTATTTATTTATTTTTTTTTTTTTTTGTAAAATTATATACTGTTAGGCTATTTGTAGTATATTATTAAGGTAATTATTGATTAATCTTAAATCTTAATTGATAAAAAAAGTTCAGAACAGTTATTTATACCATTTAAAATACGTCAGTTACTTAAAGCTGGAAAAACAGTTACAAGGAAAAAAAAAAACAATGATTCATTATACGATTCGGAGTGCTTGTAAAAAGTTTCATCGGTACTTGAAATATCATCAGACCGTAAACAGTAAATGTCATTAGCATCACAGAACTGCACCACTTGATCGGATTATTGGGCTCACTTGTTACCATCACAAATTAATATTCTCAAGATCCTCTTTGATATTCTGCTTCACGTCTACTGTAAACTTCAAGTACATTGGGTTAAGCAGACGCTTCTTCTGGGGATTTAATTGGTACCTACTTCAACCACACGAATCGTTCCACCCCTCAAGTTATAACATTGTAATTTCACATTGTTTTGCACCTTGTGGTATTTATTTGCCGTATTTATAAATGATAAAGGCATTCGGAAGTGTTTCAACAATCGCTACTGGAATAAGGAATTCTTGGCATAGAAGACTTTTTAGTTTAGGATGTCTAGTTTTGTACGTAATATGAGTTCTTAGTGACTATACGTTAAGGTTTTTAAATGAAACTAAAGCTTACCCTTCGGTCGAGTTGGGACATCATCTTGTACAGCGTGAATGACACTTATCGAAAGCAGAAGGACGAGGAGATGCATTTTTTGACGGCAACTTGTAACTTTTTCACTAGCCGTGCAGAAGCTCATCATCTTCTGTTTCATGAGTGCCGAGACAAGTGTTTCTTCATTGTTGTTAATGGAATTAATAACCGTATCTAAAAAATCACGCAAAATATTAGAATGAAACTCTAACGATTATCAATCTTAACATGTTTTTTCATCTTTTAAATGCATAACTATATAACTTGCATATACTTTGTCATTAAAAATCGTGTAACGAGCCATACAAAGTAAATAATAGCTCACAGTACGAACATTCTTTTTAAACGTTATTATAGAATGGAATAATAAATAAATTTCAGAAATTATAGTCTTTTAAGTTTTTTTGCAGGAATTTGTTCTCTAAAATTTAAAATTTTAGGGAGTATTTTTTACATGTATGTGGAATATTTTTTTGGTACACCCATGTTTTAGTTGAAAAAGTTCTAATAATCGTAAATGCAGGAATCAAATTGTTAGTAATAGACTTTCCGATCTTAAAAATGGCTCTTAAAAGCAACCCCTCAAATGAAAAAGCAAAGACCACCCAGTCGTTGAGATGCATTCAACCAACAAGCAAAAAGGATTATACAAAAATTCCAGCTCATCACGCAGATCCTTGAAAACCGCAAGGCGAATTTCAACGCACCACGAGCACGCTTCGACGATTTATTACCCGCAACAACGTGTGCGCGCATGGCACTTGCATGCACCGATAAAAGGAAAAAAAGGCTTTAAAAGGCGCCCCACGCAGGTAACAATAAGAAGAGTTTCTCCCACTTGGCTAGTGGTCCACGCGAAATTGACAAATGCATGGTCATAAAGGCACCATTCCATCCGAGAAAACGACGACGGTCAGTGTACCGAGCAGCGAGTACGTTTCCACTGGTTGGATTTGTCTTGAGCAGCACGTGCACGCCAGTTCTGGCTGAATACCTTATATCGCGCTCTCGCGCGTAATTTGTCGCGGACGATGTATTAAGTGAGTCGAAAGAAACGGGTGCGGTAAGTCCAGTCTAGCCTCGATGAATTCCCGGTCGTTAGTTTTGCGGGCTTAATTAAAACGTCAACTGTTACATTTTCCGCGAGCATGGCAGCGTGAGCTGTCCATTAACCGAGAGAGGGATCGATTCCATCATTTTTTCCACTTTTTACGGGTGGATCGCTCGGATCCTTTTAATCGCTTCTACCACCCAGTGGAGTAGATGATGTTTTGCAACAGTTTAATGAAAATTCGATATGTTTTCTCCACTTCTCTGCTGCTCTCGTCGATTACTCTTCATCGTTCACCACCTTACGTCTTATATAAGCCCTGAACTTTAGTTGAAACAACATTGTAACAGTTTTTCAATGTATATTGTATTGTAAAACTAATCAATCCTGGTAAATCAGTGGAAATTTGTGGATTCACGTTATACTTGCACATGAGCAAAACATCGTGTACACAAACAACCAAGGACTGCACACAATACCCACTTTGTTTACTGAAATAACAGCTACCTTTTCAGAAATTATTGCACGTGGGGGTATAAATCACAGTGTTAGCACCCACGCTTGAGTGTATGTTTGCACATACACGCGGGGAAAAACTTGAAAGCGAAATTAATTAATCCTTAATTTTGGTTATTCGATCGACGTATCGAGGAAATAGGTGTATCGTAAGACCGATGTGTTATATACAGGTTTATTTGGTTCCAAAATCAATTGAACAAGCTTGGCAATGTCAACAAAAGCGTATGAAAACAAGATGAATTCTCTAACTAACGCAAATCACTCGTGTGCCTAGTTCCTGATAAACACTCGATTAAATCATCATACCAAAATGCAATTATAGTCCTAGTTAGATGTTCCTTTCATTTTGTACGTTTGGACGACTAAAATTGTGTATTGAAAAAAGTATCGAGTTATTTTTTGTAAACACACGTCTAAAAGTGAGACATCGCCCAGAAAAGAAGTAAGAAGTCATAGTTATGAGCTGAATAATGTATAAGAGAGGCAACATGAAACTTCAGAAACTTGTTGTAGAAGACTTTGTGTGGAAACGAAAAATGATAGAAATGCGAAGTGTATCGAAGGAAACAAAGTCACATAAAGACTTCAGATGGCTCCCTTGCTCTTGATTCCTGCGTAAGGAAAGGACACGAATCGATGGAGCGACATATTGTTATATGATACTCATACATATATAATGTCTACAAAATGGAATGTAAAGAAGATGTAGAAGTGTGCGACTAGGAAGAGGAGTATACTGAATCTCCGTCCAAGAGATGGTATAGGAATACACTCGCACCCCTATGAATGATTAATGCCACCGGAGCTTTTTAGTATTCGAGAAAGAAAAAGATGCCCATAACAGAGCGTGACCTCTCCCATGAGGGCTGGTCTCTGATCATTGTTCGTCTCTATACACCAGATCGAGGGTTATTTATGCCTGGAAATTAATCGCAATACCCCAGAAAAGCAGCATGTATACATACGTGCCGATAGACAACAAGCTCTCGAGCCCCTAGTGTATGTACATCCCTCGTAGTTTCCACGTGAGTGTGCACGTTGAAGTGTAATGTCATTCTCAGTAGTAAATGCGTGTGAATGTCTATATACTCCCAGCGAATATCCATGAAAACTGGCTGGCAGCTGGAAGATCGATCGTTCATCCCCAAGAGCGCTGGACGGAAGATGAGCTTTTGTATCGCACACATGTGCACGTGAATTGCCCTCCCTTATTGTAATACGTACGTGAGTATAGACGTGAAGTTTGAATCGATCAACCGATGGATCTTTATATTCATCCGTCTGGGCATCTGTATGTATAAACAATGTAGTGTGCTTTCGCGTGATAATGTTGGATCGCTTTGCGTGGGGATGGAGGGCTTAATTGAGACCGGCCCGGAATGATCAGTGGGTCGAATTTTCCACGCGGTCTTTTCTATTCTAGACGTGTCTGAAGGGTTTGATGAGAAAATTAGTAATTAATTAGTAATAAAAATTAGTCACTATACGTGGGATGATAATTCCTTCTGGAGTGGAATGGACAGGTGTAGAGCATTGTAAAAATTGATAGGCAAGAAAGAGCGAAAAAAACGTTTAGAATTGAATGTTTATATGGAGCCACTACTGAGAAATGTTCACTTTCCATGTTAGCACTATTATGTTAGGAGACTAAACTTAGACGCTTAAAAAAGAAAATCGAAGCTAGTTTTTTCTTAGCAGGAAATTTGTTGATACAAAAAAATGAAAAGAGTTTTTGGATAAAACCTACAGCACTACGTTTGTACGGTTTAATAAAATGCATGGGATATCTGACTAACGATTCTCATCATTATTTTTTTTAACACTTCAAAATAGTTCTCAAAAATGCTTGGTAGTAAGATTCTTATTTAGATCTTCGTAAGCACAATTGGGAGAAAATCCAATTCACGAGTAAAAAGTTGGAAATATGTCAACTTTATGCTGAAATTGAAACAAACAGTCGAATTGATCTTTTTTCAAAATACACGTAACAATAATCTTGAGGACATGTTATACCTAGTAAGTCTAAGTGTGCGATTAGAATCGTCATACAGCAATGTAAAAATCCAATCGACCTATAATCAAATCGATCAGTTCATTGGCCCTACGAAATCATGAGAAGATATTCTACATGAACTTGAAATATTTAGTCTCAGATTCCCCACACTTTTAAGTGCAGATCCGACAGGAAGAAACGTTTGGCACATAATGTGCCTTTCATGAAAATGGTTGCAAGAAACAGTCGTTTTATCTGGTAGAGCTAATTCAAAAATCGATGAGAGATCTATTCCTTGATCTTTAAAGTATCAACTAACACTATTCTTACCTTTTTTTAAAGTTATGGCCAGTTTTAATTACTCCTCCCAGCAAAAAATTTATATTTTTAAGGTGGAAACGGTAAAGTATCATGCTGACTCGTAAAGATGAAAAATACTAAGTTTAAGAAAGCTCTTGACCTATCAGTAGCGTAATGAGACTTTTAAAAAAGAATCTTAGCACCTTGCAATCGTTGAACTTGTCTTATTCCTTGCAAAGGACTACACTAAAACTTTAGATCCTGAGCTAGGTATACTTAAATAACATTGATCCATTGCATGCTCGATCATCATATCTGTTTTCATCCTCATATCCTTGACGCTATTTAAAGCGAAACGTACGATCTATAAATCAGAGAACGAGATCGAAATCGACAGAAGACAACGATCACTCGAAAATCGCCGGAAATCTTGTTCGAACGCGTCACGGAAGAAAATCAGTAGTACAGGGCTGGTTCAGCTGGCCCGTCCAAGTGAGAGTGAAATCTCCCCCCCCTCCCACTTTTTTTCACGCATTCAACTGAAGAAGACGAACGACATTTTAAGTAAGATAAAACGCGTCGCGATAAGAAAAGAAAAAGGACTTACCGATTCATCTTCAAAGCCGGCGACGGCGACGACGGCCACGGGTCATTCCTCACTCGTCCTCACAACTGTGTCTGTTCTTCACTCCTGCAGATACACTCTGGAGGGACCGGAGTACCCAGTATCCATTCACTTGTTGGTCCTTTAAATTTTCACCGCAAGAGGCGACTTTTCCGAGCTTTCAATGCCCAGTGTCAATGATACGTAGGCTCAGCGACTTGCGAGCTTTCCAAATGAACGAGTGGGTGTAGGCGACTGTTGGTGTGTCTTTTTCTCGCAAGCTCCAACAGACTCGCCAGGACTCCTTGGGAAGCCCCCGTCTTGCGGATGGTCGAGAATCGTTTGCGCGAGACTCGCGGTCAAAACACACGGAAGAAACGGAGAAAGAACCCGTACACGCGTTCGATCTTCGGCAGAGGCACGAGGAAGGGGAGCGGACGGGTGGAGTCTCTCTCAATTATTATACTTGTACGCGTGCCAACTCCGAGCTATACGTGCACAGTATATAGCGGGAGTCGTCATCGCCGACGTGCTCTTCTTCTCGCGCGCGTCGTTCGGTAGCACCGCGCGAACACACACACTAAGCGCTCGTGCACACAAACACGGTATCCGGCGACTTTGAAAAAATCGCGTGGCTAAAAATACGCTTGATGTAACGACAACGACGGCGATGTATCACGCGCATCGGATGGCTCGGGGAACTCGATTTTCTCCGTATGAGCCGAACCAGGGCACGGAAAAATCGGCAAATAGTGTCTCGCTGGTGCGACGGAGGAGTAAACGGTGCGCGAATATCCGAAATACGTGTGGGCGAGAGCGCGATCGGGCCGACTTTGTGCGCCGGTGGGCTGCACTTAACTGGCGTGTTCTCGGCTATTGCAGAAAAGATCGGAACGAAAGTGAACGAAATGACCGAGAGACGGGGACGAGCCTCTCCTCCACCACCGCTCCACTACTCCTTTGCTCGCGAGATATCGCACGCTCGTGTGCTAGCGCGCGCGCGCGTGTGTGTGAGTATCAGTTTATGCGAGCAGAGCTGTAGAAAGAAGAGACGAGGAGGAAAGACGAAAGAGTTGCCACAACTACTGTGCGATCGGAGGCCGCGGATCCGAGCACCTCGTGCGACCGGCTGGCGATCGTTTGCCAGAAGACCGTGTGGGTGGGTGGGTGTGCACCGCACGGACACACCGGCGCGCGAGAGCGAGACTGAGAAGAAAGCACCAGCACCGACCGGAGTGTCTCTAGCAGTGGACGTTGCCGTCACAACAGTGGCGCTCTCCTCTCTCTCTCTCCTTTCTTAGCCACCGGCCGATCTTTCGTCCGGTGGACGCCACCTTCCCCCTCCTCCTTTTCCTCGACTCGTTTTCGCAGTTCTCGGGTTTTTATCCTTAGGAGAGTGATTTTTTGCGCAGACGATGGGCCACGATCTAGCGCCGGGTCGGAAACTAATTTTCACCACTAGCTGACTGTGACGGAGCGGTTGACGAGAGGATCTTTGAGATCGGGACGAACTGGGTTTCATTTGCCGACCAGACTGACCTAGGGTATTTTTAGTGAATCCTTGTGGGTAAGTATGTCTGGGAATGTTGCAAAAGGACTCACTGGCTTATGAGAATGTATGAGTTATGTTAATTTATCAGTGATACATATGAATTGCTATGTAGTTTTGTTAACTGCAATAAAGAAGCACTCATTTTTTTGCGCTCAAAACTTCTTACGGAAGTTTGTGCTTTCGTGGCGCAGGAGCTTTTTCAATCGAAGTAAAGATAAAAGTTATGTTTTGTACTAATTTTTACATAAAGTACGAGACCAGTCTGTTGTAAATTAAATACATCTAGAGATACTCGAAAGATCTTTTATTACACCCGTTAAAAAGGTACAAATGTTACGCGATGAGAAAACCAGTTACCAAAAATGTATTTTCTATATGAGAAAAAAACATAGAAAGAGAAACTTAATGCATGCGAGTGATGTGAAACTAAAAAGTTAAAGTACGCAATAAAAAACAATTTTTTCCAAACTAGATGTTACTTGTTTAAATAAAAAGCAGAAAATGTTATATTTACAATTATTTGTCTGTAATGAAGAGGCTAATAACTGTAGATTTATACAAAATGAGCAATACTGAGTATTGGACAAACATCTAATTTTATCGATTAACATTTTGTTGTTAGAAGAACAACTTTTTATAAAACCGGATGGATACCCAACGTCCAAGTATTGTTTCTCGCTTTATAATATTGTATAGGGTATTATTATCACAAAGAAGTGCAAGTGGACAGAAATTTTAAATAATTCAAAAATTATTGCAACAACTAAACCATATAGGTATACAGACATACAGGCAACTACTACATTAGTTTTCGTATAATCTTATGTTCGCAAATGTTTTTCAGATATGACTATCGATTCAACATTGTGAGAAGTATGATTTACGTGGTTTTATGAAATAATATTTTATAATTTGTGTAAAAATTGTTTTTAATAACACATCAGTGTTATGATCATCAGGTTGTATTGCATCGAAACGTTAGTTTTTTAGAGTGTCGTGGTTATTGTATTGGTATACAAGACAATGCAAGAAAAAGTAAAAAAAAAAAAAATCACGTAAAGCCTGAATCCTTTAAAGTACAACATTGTTTTTAAATTACTGACAAGTTTTGACTTTTCTTTGAACCGATCAAATTTCTTTCTCCAAAGGTATTATCTTGCTTCTTGTCGTTGTAACTTACAGTCATTTTTGAAAAATACTAATTATATTTCCAACTGCTATCTTTGGAATTCGAAAAAATTTTCTACAACCGATAAAACTACCAAACTTCTCTTTAGTGCAATTATTAACCACTGAAATGCAAATAAAAAGTTACAAAGTAGTGCATCAAGTTGACAGAGTTTGTTGTATAATTTACGGGATCAATAATAAATCTGCACTCAGACGGGGCCGTTAGTTATTACGTTCCGTGGCCTACCAATTCTCGAGATTGCCTGCTATACTTGATTTAATCCTTCTTTTCCTCTCTCCTTTTCCGTTTCCTCGTTTCCCTCAATCTCGGAAAAAAATTCCCATCTCTTTGATTGGACGAACGGCGAGTCTTCTTCCTGCTTCTCTCTATCTTTCATAGAGCTTGCGGCTTTTTTTATTTCATGCCCGAAACGACTTCGGTGGAGCCGCGTGTCCATCGGACCGCTGATGCCGGAAATATTCGAAATTTCTAATTAAAACGGTACTTTCTAATTATAACAACTTTTTATCCGCGAACCAGACGAGAGATTGCCTTTCTGCTTAAAATTCTCGTTTTTCTACTCTATTCTCGTCAAATTCAGTATGTATAAGTGCGAAAAATCTGACACCTCAAAATATTACCTCATAGTAGACTCGACAACAACTGGTGTAGAAAGAAAGAGGAAAAAGCTTCCACAAGCTTTAAGTGTCTAACTCACCTAATGCACCAAAGTCGACTACGTTGCCGGGTCATTATTAAAATTTATCAAAAAACAAAATGGTGCTATGGGGATTGTATGTGCTTGATTGCACTGTAAGAAATTTATGTGACTCCCGTTTTTCCACAAAATATAAAAGCCGTGAGCAGGGAAATATCGTCAATTGTCCATTTGTGATGAATCATATTGTAGAGCCTCTGTTCGTACGTAGAGAAAAATATCAAAGAGTCCCGAGTATTTTTATTCTCGTTCAACGAAACAAGTGAAGTTTATTGCACACTCACGTCATGTAGAAACTCTTTGTAGAAAGAAAAAAATAACATACCCAAGCTCTTGACTGCGGCACAAAAGAGCACGGTTTTGATTTTTACAGACGTTGTTTCACAGTTGTTTGTACAAGTTGACGATCGTTAAGTCTATTTTTAGATCAGAAATGCGAAATAAATGAGAAAATTTTCTGTTACACTGTAGGAATAGCATGTTATTTATTTTCTATTTTCGCTATTAATCACCTACAATACTCAGCTGAAGTGAAAAACAAATGATTGATTGCATTAACAGATATAATAGAGCGAAAGAAATGCAAATGCAATAATAAATCTATTTGCACCCCCACGTACGAACAAACACATCAAATCGTAAAAGCTCGTCAAACTAAGTATCGCAAGCCTTTACAGCCCATTGAAGTATGCGTGTGCAACTGCACTAACTATTTGTCCCTTATTATCAAATTTTGCGGTGAAAAAAATGAATTGCCTTATCTTGGGCATTAATTTCATTTTGTTGCACCTTTGGCAAGAAAAGCAAGATTCTCTATTTAAATGAAGAACTACTATAGGGTTGCACAGGGGCTTGGCAATAGCCCCAGTGGAGATAGTGGTTGATCACAAGATACGAATTTTTACTGTTTCCATTATTATACAACAATGACCTTCATGCTGTGAAAATTGAAATAATCTTGATAAGGCCGTAAACCATCTTTTGGTGTGACTTTTACCTCTCATATTTTGGTTCTTCCAGAAGTAAACAATGTTATAGCTTTCATAAATTTTTTTTTAATGTATACACTATTGTCTTGATTGCGATTTAGTTTTTTACTCATTACTGTCAGAGATGTTCTACAATAATGTTATATCATCCAAAATTAAATCTTGAAAAAACACACTTGTTTTACGCCTCTATCTTGATTAAATTAATCATCGTAATACCTGGAAGTACAAGAAATGTTAAATAGAGATAATAAAATAAATTATTTTTTGGTAACATCGTTTAACATTTAAGGCCTGTGTGTGCTGTAAATCGTTTAAAGTATTCGATGAGTGCAACTCTAAACGTTTATTTTTAAATGTTATTTAATTTTATGTTTGAATATCATGCATTACATTTGTACTTCTGAAGTGAAAAGTTAAAACCACAATGAATGTAATGGTTATAGTATTAAACTATTAGGATTCAAATGAATTTTTGAAAAGTTACAAATTCATATACTGTCATACTTACGTTTTGCTTTGATAAAAAATGTAGTACGTGCACTTGAATGTAGAAGTTTATTTAAATGCATATACATTAAGCCACTTGTCATTCACGCAAGTCACTCTTGTTTCCAGCAAGATATTATTTTGGTCTTATCTCACATATCGTATTAATTCTCATTCTACTATGTACTGTTTTGTCCGCAAAGTCTGATCTCGTAGCTGAATGTGTATTGTATAGTCCTTACTGATTGCCGTAAGTGAGTAATGATTGTCAACTAATGCTTGATATCTACTATTATATATTTATATATATGGTATGCAACATTGTGTTTGTATACAAGTGTGCGTATCATTGAAAACAGAAAAACATTTACCTACTTGTAGTTTTACTGCTAATACGCACATTTGTAATAAAAAATTTTTAATGATACATCTAGTACAGGGTTAATTTACTGCAGTAAGATATTGTTATGGATACTATACAATTGAAAGATTTATTTTAGAAAAAGAGATAGTTAATTATAGATAACAATAATACACATTCCATGAATGCTTTTAAGAGCGTGACAATATAACTTGCGTATAGTCAATTCAGCTACGCCCATCATTTCGTCACTTAATATTTATACATTACATGTTTTTTTTTCACATTGATGCATTCTTTAATGCATCTTTATAAATTATATTAATTTATCATAATAGTAAATAATTACTATTATTAGTTACCAATTTATTTCTAGTACATTATTACTCATTAACATGATAATAACTTTCATGTTTCCGTGTGTTCATAATATGAGGGAGAAAGTTTTGGCTTCACACCACTCACCGCTGCTTCATGATGAACCTTTTAGTAAAGCACAATTTGTCCCATCGTAAGATATTCATACACTCCATCATTGAGCTAAGAAAAATTTTTTCCTGCCTTAAAAGAAGAGAGGTTGATCATCTTCGTATGGTCGATTTTAAGTTCACTCTTGTACGCACATGCTCATACAAAAGTTGACATTGAGAGATTGACGTCAACACAGTGCCAACGTGTACCCCTTTTCGTATTTTGTACAAAGTGTTGGCCAAATTCGGTGGAAAAAAGTTTTGTAAATGTAGTAAAACGAGTGCTTGAAATGACCCAAGGGACTTATGAAGTATCAGAATGCATGTTTGAATTTCAAAGACAATTTGATACTCATCACATTTACCAATTAATTTAAACTTGAGAAAAAATACGAGGAAGTACCAAGATTAGTACCGATTCTTGTAGCCCTATTTATTTTCCTGTAGTATTGTAAGAGGAAAATAGTTATATTTGGACGTGGATTTGCATAGAAGCACTTTTGAATTTAGTTAACATCGGGAAAACAGCCGAGTTGGCTAAAAACAAACTCGTACGTACTTTGATTTGCCTTGAAAGTTTGAATGTATTTATCACGATAACAATGAGGATATTATGTGCACACGTATTTACACATATATATACAAATATATTTATGACCTACAACGAAATAGTCATTATAGCGCGAATGAGATCCGTCAAACTTCCGATAACTTAACCAAGTTTTTTCCGATGGAACAGCTTTACACTCTTATCGATAAAAAATTTGTCCACCATTAAAACGTATAGCTTGGCCTGGTGCCCCCGTAACTTCCTGCACAAAACACCTGTCACCTGATCAAGTTTGCTTACAAACTTTTCAACGAGCCCTTACAAATCGGAAACATTTTGCTCGTCCCCCAGAACTCTTTTATGGTCTTTCCCTTCTCGAGTCCGCGGGGCGCGATGTCCTTGTGTGGCTTTTGTTATTATGGGATAATTACCGTAGATAGGAATAAGTTTTCCATACTCAACATTCTTCTTAAAACATCAGGTATACATGTGTGGTTAGCAATAAATAAGATTTTTCGTAATGTGCGTGTAACGAGAAATAGCATACGTGCTGTATCGTGATTGGTAAAAGTCACTTAAATTATTTAGCTTCGTATATTTTATGTTGTTGGTTCGTTGTTTACATAAACTACACTGTAAATTATCTAGCTTTTTATTCGCACCGTGGAGCAATTTAAAATAGCGCTACCTGCACGAGAAAGAATGTCGATACTTACTAACAGGAACACAAACACAGCATTTTATGAGATCAGTTTTTGTCCTCCTTTTTTTTTTGTAACAATGTATTTTCAAACGTATTTAAACCAAAAAATACTTTTTTCGCAACTTTACATTAAAATAATAAGTTTTTCTTATAGGAAGTACATATATTTTGTGAGTATAAATACTTTTTTCGTTGAAATTTAAGACAATAAGTACAATACAATATAAGGATTAGTAGTGACTCTTGTCAAGGCCTTTGAAGTAACAATTTTATTTTGTGCCTAGAGTACTGTGTTTTCGAGGAATTTACGTTTTTCAGTGCTTGTCGAGGTAGGATAGACTAATGAAGTGGTAAAACAATAACCGATGCTAAAAAAGAGAGAACATGTTTTTTTGTTACATCATAATTATATTATTTATATCTCATTTATTTTTGTAACAGAATTGTCTTAGAACAACTATAGAAAAGCTCTGCTTATTGCAAAAAAAAAAAATAATAGATAATGCAATTATTTTTCTTTGCTGACATTTTGTTAAAAAAAAAATAAAATAAATATATAAAAAAAGCAGATTTCATTACTTTTGCTTGAACTATCATGCATCTTAAAGTACAATGCATAAAAAAATGTATATCATCCAATTGCAATAAAAACAAGAGAATCGTCACAACCATCTCCTCCGTCTTGTCACTTGCCAATACTTGAACACCGAAAGGCGTACGCATCAAGTCTACAAACATCCCAATTGAGCTTTTTTCCTCTACAATGGGACACATAGGAGAATCGTTCTGGATCACCGATCTCCTCATCTGCAGCTTCCTTATTCACATTTCCAAAGCCGATGGTGGCAAACTCGATGGCTACTCACCGAGTCCCGGAGACGTGTATCACGGTAAGCAAACCTCGTATTATTGACAGAACTGTGAGATCACTACCGATGTTGTATTCTCAGTCCTTTACCCTTATGTCTTTGCGAAAAAAGTTCCCACTTTTAATAGCCTAATTATTGTTCGATGCGTGAAAAGTAAAAGGAGATAAATTTTTGTTGGTTATAGTCGTGGCAAACGGTACGGAGTAATCACGTGGAGGTTAAAGCAATGATGCGTCCCTTGTTTGCAGTAACAGCAATTATTGTAGAAAAAACTAACAAATTATTCACTATCGGTAATGTTTCTTAAAATACTTGCATGTAAAAATCATTCTGCATGTTTGCAAATACTTCGACTGCACGTGAAATAACAAAAAAACCATAAAGTAAAACATTGCGATTTAGTTTCCATAGTACGTAAATTACCTTAGATACTTCCAATGCATGGTTAAATATTTTTTACCCTTGAAATCAATAGAAAATCAATGGCGTGTAAAACAAAGTATCAAGAAGTCAAAAAGTGCTTGGTACATCAAAGTGAAACTCGATGAGCGTCGATGCAAGGGGATGTAACAGAGAAGCTAAGAAGGTGCAAGATTGATGATTATAATGAAGGTAGTCCTTATCCCGGCCACACAATATTGCAGCCTTAGTCATCAGTGGTGTGCAATACGCTATTAGGGTCCTGTACTTGGCACCTCGCTGCGACGAGAGCAACCCGATCTCTCATCTCCCTGGGTATGTGATAGTATATATACAGGATCCTCGAATCGGCACTGTGCCACCAGCAGATATTCCCTCCGCGCGTTATGCCACTTGACTGAATTCCTTTCCTCTCCGGCACTGCATGTAGCTATAACCCATTTCACTTTCTCTGCTCGTGCGCGAGGTGGGAGGAATCCTTTCTTCCACCTCTTGTTTCGATCAGCTCTTTCGTATTGGTTTTTTTCGCGCTCGCAATGCGAAACGTGCCCCTTCCTTCCACTCGGAGCTCGGGTTACTGAACCGTGGGTGGTCCAGTGAATCGCGTGGCGCTTAAATGACGCATGGCTCTTCGGAGGAGCGCCGTAAATTTGCGGGACTAGCACCGAATCGGGAGGAAAGAACTGCGGTGGGAGAGGGATAGACCGAGTCGGGTATATACTTATACATTGTTCATGAGCGGTTGGTGAATTGCTTCGGGGAATCTCGATTGGTTCCAAGGAGTTAGAGGGAGAAGGGGTTATGTAAAGTGATGGATTAGTACTTTTGATTTTTACATCTTGGTGACATCATGCACTTTGCCTTTTCATTTGAAACTAACGATCATTTAGGTATTAGATGTTAGGAAAAAAATAAGGAAACCGTGTGTATCACAATTGACTTTAGAGCTTGATTTTTTTTTTTTTTTATAAATATTTAAACATTTTATTAAACGAGGATACTTCACACTATACTCAAAACGAACAAAACTTTGATTACATTTTCTTCGTCTTTGTCAACTTGAATGATATACATCATATCAATGCAATTAATACATAAGTATACATTTTGTACAAATTTTTCATCATTGTTTTTCATCTAGTTATTTCTTTTAAAAGAATTAATCGAATAGTTTTCTACAATATTTTCATACTAAAGTGCTACAATTTGAAGTATTTAATTTTTTCAAACCTGCAAAAAAACCACGTGATTTGTCGAAACCAATCATACAACGTATAAAAAAGCTTTGATCGTATGACAATTGATCTTATAGAATACGATTATTGTATAAGTTATTAATGGATCTACGAACTTTAGCTAAAAAATTACATGATTGTGTAAATTTTTTTGTATAAAAAAAGGCTCCACTGAGAGAAGGATTTGTTTACTATCAACGTACACGTATGTTAACAGAAAACTAGTTTACATATTCTTTATAACTTTTAAAATTTTAACTGCACACAACGGCATGTTAATAGTTAACATACCATATTTACCTTAAACCTGCGCCTCCTTACATGATACCATGTGGAATACACATTATACGTAACATAATAGTTAACATATGAAGTTAGTTGATAACAAGTTCTTCTTTCATTATAATGATGTCAAAAGAAAAAAAAAGTATTCATTCAAATTTTTAATCATAATCAACGATCCACCTGTAACCTTCCTATCGGTAAATTTTCTCGTTTTCTGATTCTGTGAAAAAAAGGATCAAAGCAATCGAACACGGCCTTCCATAAATTTCTACCTCGCAAAAGAGCAGTACATCAGCAAAATGTAAGAAACTTTATCGCCAAAAATTTCAAAATTCACGACGCGCTCTCAAGTTTAAGACGCGGGTCCGCGGAGAAATCTGCTCGAGAGTTAGAAAACCTCGGCTCGTGCATCACATACGGGCGCGAAAATGTCGCACATTCCTTAAAAAAAAAAAAAAAACTCAAACGAGCCGGAGGTAGTTTCCATTCCCGCTCCGTCGCACAGTATACGCGCGTGTAATGTAACTCCGTATGCGCACACGCAGACGCCACTTCGCCAGGGAATTCCAAGCCCAAAGTTCCATATTAAGCGTGTTTAAGACAAACTTGCGCAACTTCTTTACGCTCGTTACGCTCGCCTCGCGAGACGCAAGCATATATGCAGGCGCCAGCGAAAGTTTACTGAAAGAAGAGGCGCGTGCGCCTACCGTATCATTATGCGGCCCGTAAACTCGATCATAATCTTCCCCAGACGCAGGGCCCTCCTCTCGAAGATCCTCCATCGTGTGTGTATACATGTATAAATGCATGCTTGTATTAGTAAAAACTTCCGTATGAATAAAGAATCGGCGATGTATGTGTGCAGAGCGATGGATTTCTTGCTGCTACCACCGCTGCTGAGGAGAATACGCGCTTCGTATGTCATGGTGGATTATCAGCTGGACTATTTTTGTCGGGTATAAGGCTGCAAGCTCGGCGCGTCGGGTGTTTTAAAGCTTTTCTTGCGATGTGCGGCAAACACTTTGTCTTGGGCCTGAATGGAATTTTCAGAGGCTGGAAGAATGAATGCATTGTTTTTCGAGCCAAATGTTTGTGGTGATGAAATTTCGACTCTGCTGTAGTGGCCTTAGTATGCGTACAGGTTGATTGCGATGACTTTGCTCCTATTTTATATTATACAAGATTTTAGAAGGGTTAGAAAGTAATGGAAAAGTTATTTTAGAACCACATAGTGAATAATAAAATTAGATGGGCACTCGTGTTTTATTTTATTTTTTATTTTTTAGTGACTTTACCTCTTTTCTTAGTCATGATAAATACCTTGTTTTTTAAACTATACCTTAAATTGTTATATTTTCTTCAACTCAACAATGACAGTGATATGAAATACGTGAGCACTAAAAGAGTGAATTTATTGTTATTTTTGTGTACGTCAAAAAAAAAATCGCATTTATTACCATTAGTCATATTTATTCATAATTTACAATTTAAATAATGATAAGATAGATTGATGGTTACAATATAAAGTTCAACACTATTTTCAAAAACCTTAAGAAATCAGTGTAGTACCATGTCTAAATTATTTTAATTTTGATCATCCACGATTTTAATGATGAAATTACGTGGTTTTTATGCAGCAAAATTATCGCGAAAGTCTTGTTTAAACAACTGTACTTTGAATGAAATTTCTCGGAAATGGTAACAGAAATTCTTCCGAGAAATAAATGTATCAAAACGACTACGGAAATTGACATTTTTTAATATTTTCTTTAACGTCGGAAACAAATTAAATTTCGTAATAACCTCCTTAAATATACGTTAAATTACTCAAAGGAGGAAATAAATTTTCTTTGAAAAACATATTTTTATATGTATGTATGAAAATGTATGTATTAAAAGAAGCCAAGTCTCCAGTAATTTATTAAACAAAAAAAGGAAACGGAAAGCGAATTGCTGTGAACTCGCTCTTCATTTCATAAATTTCCGAGATAAAGAAAAATACTCGCACCAGGGAAACAATATCCCCGGCAATATACCCGCCTCGAAACTCAGTCATGAGCGTTTTCTCAAGAATGCGAGAACCCCACCTTCCTATACCCTCCTCTGCTGTGTAATACGTATTCATAAAAAAAAAAGTACCCTTCGCATTTTTATAATCTCGCGCTGCGTTATCACTGAGAGCACGCGCGTAATAATTCTCCGTCCGTTGGAAAGGAAAACTTTTTACGCTTGTTGGCCCGTATTTTTACATACACCTTTTTCCTCTTCCCCCTGGAATCTTTAAGGCAGATACACGCGAGATATCCTCAGTGGGACGGCAGAACTGCTGATACCGCGCAGGGTCCACGAGGACGGTAGCTTCCGTACTTACGAGTTGCCGAAATTTTACGAGCACCCTGGGAACGATGAGCGGTCCAGGAGATCGACGGGCACTGGGTGAGCTGATGGTACTTGTACATTTAAGTATACATATGAACGGACTCGCGTTTGCGAGCCAAAGTTTTTAAGAGCTCTTTTTACAAAGCAAAAGTCTTCTCTTTTAATGAGTTGGTGTGCTGTGCTTATGAACTGGGTTTGTGGAGTAAAAATTGATATGCAGCAAAAGAGTTGCAAGCCGGGGTTTATTTAAAAAAAAATCGGCTTGATCATGCAAGCTGCTGATCAAATAAGTTACGTGAACATCGAATAATCTCGGTCATTCTGGCAATTTTTTTGAAAAATCTATAATGAGTTGGGTGTAAAACAAGTATCCCATAGTGACAATATTTTATTACATGATTGAAACATATATTGGTCAAAATATTAGACGGAAAAAACTACGAATACTTCATTACACCAAATCTCAGATTTTTTTCAGAATAACGATAATTCTTGAAACTAGACTTATATGCTTTAAATTGTTTTGTGATAGTAGAATTAATTGGTACGATCAAGTCTGCACAAATGGCTAAACATAACTTCATAAAGATCTGATCGGAATTAGTAAATCCTGAATTTCCCAAGTCCTTAATAGTTCCAAAACACACACTCAACATTACAAATCATAAAAAAAGCCAAAATTTTTGTCCTGTTGATTTTTTATACAAAAGAAATTCAATCATCTCCAACAGCGCAGTGTACCTCGTGCTGCCATTCGCTGGCGAGGACCACCACGTCGAGCTTGAGCCCTACCCCGACTTCATATCACCATGGCTGGTAATCGAGACCCGCTCTGTCAATAAAGTATCCTCCCTGGACGGCGTCGACTTGAGACACGCGAGCCCGCAACAGTGCCACTACCGCGGCCGCGTGCTCCAACACGCCAACTCTCGGATCGCCCTGTCTCTCTGCGACGGCGTGGTCAGTATGTAGTCATCGTATACTTTAATACACCATGTTATTTTATACGTATGGAAAAAACACGCGTGTGCTCGTTATACCCCCGGGGCAGTGCAAACACTGGCGCCTTAATTCGCATAACAGATGTATGAGGAGCGCGGGTGGTGGAGTTTTATGCGCGAAGGTGATGCCGGCCACTCGACTGCAGGCCGGCCGGTCGTTTGGCGCCGTCGCGTCGTCGCGGATATCTCAGCAGCCGGCGTCGACCCGCGGGAGCTGCTGCCGCCTGTCTGGAATCCTTGATTGGTGGGAGGGGGTGGGGGGGGCTCGAGATTGATGCGCGCCGCTCTCTTGACGACGAGTTGTTGGAGAGCGGATGTGTGTACAATACACGTGCATGCGCTCGGCTTATTTATAGCGCGCGTTATGGGCGTGCTGATCCGCAGCCTCGGGGGGGCCTCTGCTCGGGCAGCAGAGCTTCTTGGAATATCGCCTCGATTACGTTTTACGATTGGGAGAGCTTTGTTCTCTCTCTCTCTCTCTCTCTCTCTCTCTCCCTTCGACATCCGTGTGACGCTGCTGGGGCCGTCGAGTTGTTTCGTGTACGTGTGGGGAGGTGGGTTTTCTCCAGTGGTTTTTGTGGATGTAGCTTGCATCTTTGGGAGGAATCTTTTTTTTCTGGATTCGTTAAAAACTTTAGTTAGGTAATTAGCAATAGCAAGATTTCTAACCACGCATAGTTCTTGACCAGTTATTTATCTTTGTTGTCGTTAAATTTAATTAGCGATGCCATGAGTATGTTTACACCTTCACTTTGATACTTGTACGGTACTACATGGTAAAAATGATCTGATTTCGGAGATTGAACTATCGATCTTGTGGATTGAGTGATTCATATTTCAAATTTAATCGATTGAAAATAACCTTTGGAACATTATTGTTTACGAAAAGTGCAATTATTTTGTTTGCTACTACGTACATTATAAGCTAACACTTGTTCGATCTGGGTAGTTTAAGTCTGGGACATGTGCTCGTGATTTTTAATCATCACTTTTGTTGTTATTTTCTTCAAAATCGATTCTAATACATTTATTAATGATAATAGTTTTAGGAACACAAACATTTATTCTACACTGTTGACATGAAAGTCAATTCATTCTTTAAATTTAATGCTTTCTTGTAGCTTACGATGTCTTAGAACATCAAAAATAATAAAAGAAATGCTTTGCATACAATTTGTTGATTAAAAACTTGTTTAAGAAATCAGTTAGATATTGACACTTGTTATTGTTCTACGTCTCTTCGATTATTCATACGTTTATGGTAGGAGTATAGCTTTTGATGACCTTTGTAAAAAATGTTGTAAAAATATATACATTATTGAATTATAGGTCCGTATGGATGTAGGAACACAAGAGAAAAACGGACAAAAGAATCCTTCCCTTCCAAAAGGTAGACTATATATTTACGTGTCTTTATGTATTTAAATCTTTTTTTTTCGTCCAACTTACGAAACAAATTTATTGACGTTATACATAGAGAATTACGTGCAAAGAATAAAATACAAGGAAAATATTCCAGATTTCAGAAACCAAGAATTTTATATTCTTTGACACAACTGAAGTATGGCAATGGAAACATATAAAGACATGTAATGAATTTTAAGTATACAAAAAATATAATAGTAAGTAGAACAAAATATACAATAACATAAGATACACAGAGATTTTAGATTATGGAAAAAATTATCATAAAGTAAAAAGCAATAAGAAATAATAATACAAATACAAAGATGTAATACAGAGAAACAGAGACATATATTTGTGGTTGGAAGGAGGTGTAGTGCAAAACTGTCTCTGGCTTTAGTAATATATAACTAAGAAAATCATTAGTTGTACGGAGGTCAGCAAATGCTTTGTCAATAAGATTTGAAAGAACAAAGCTAATGGATGTAACTCTTGAAGAATGGACAACAAGAGTTGAGTTTTACCTTGCAAAGTGAAACCACCAACTTTTGCACACATTTAGTTGGAAGTTTGATTGGGACAGAGTAACTGAAACGATTCGTTAATTCATAGCATTCAAAAGGTACTCATAATTAATGTTGAAAGAATGTACAGAAGCATCATCAGACCAGTGGTAAACAAATAAGTTAAAGATTAATATTTTTTAAAGAGTGTAGTTACCAAACCTAGAACAAATTTCAGGAAAAATCACATAACATGTTCATTTAGCCTATGGTTGTTTGTAAAAATTAAAAGAATTAAAGTTTAGAATAGGCCTGACGAAAATACATCTAGATTTGTTAACCGGTAAAGAGAAGTAAGAGACGAACAAGATACCGTGAGATACAAAAAAATCGAGTGGAAGCCAGAGGCAGAAGCACATCATCAGAGGAGCCGACAGGACTAAGAGACCGCGGAGCGTCGAAGTCTATTTAAAGAAGCAAATGCATTTATTAATTTGCATACTCCTCGAACGTAATAGGAATCTCGATTTGCTGCTACAGCCACCGCATCGAGTGTGGGAGAACGAAGGAGAGGAAGGAGCTCTCGCCAGGCGGGAAATTGAGCAGCCGATTCCACTGTCTACCCGTGCCCCTTTTCTTTTTACGGTTTTCATACCCCCCCGAGTACAGAAAAGTCGCACGGTCCACTTGATTTTGGGCACTCGACCAACTGCTCCATCGCCGTTCGGCAAATTGGAAAATCCACCCTTTCGGTCACGTATACATCTATCCACGTGCGCACGTTCGGCAGCAGCATAATTAGACGAAGCCCGTGTGCACACAGGGCGCCCCCGTTGCGTAACCAACCTGGCACACGTTCCGATCTCTCTGACGTAAAATTTATTAATTATGCAAACGAGTTCGGTTGAGCTTACCAGTGTGGGTATACACCCATGTTAATTTTGGGGCTTCCTTTGCGTGCTGCACTTCATTTTGCAACAACGCTTTTGGATGTGTTTTTTGGTGTAAATTAGAGTTTTGAGTTCATTGCTTTAGCCAACGAATGATTGTTCAACCATATTCTGATTTGGAAGGTTCTAATGAGATTATATCTGGCTTTCGGGTGATCAAGATAATAGGCTCCCAGTTTTAAAAACCTATTTAATATAATATCAAAGAATTGCTTGTAAAAGAAGAAAAATAGATACAAACGGTCTAATATTCTTTTTATAATTACCTAAACTTTTGTAAGTTTTTAACGAAAGGTCAAGTTAAGTCTCCAACCCATAATATTTTTCTTCCAGACAAAAAGTAATAATGACGTGTAGTAGTTTTTTAACTAGGCTACCTAAATTTTTATTTTGAATTATTCAGAAGTCATGATCTTTACGAATTATATTTTTTTCATTAATTTATTTATTGATATTTTTTATTGAAATATTTGTACTTTACATCTATAATGAATAATACATTTTTGGTAGAAAAAAAATGTGTGTATTAGATTGGTTATCAAAAAAACAAAAAATTTCTGTTGTCTACAATAGTGGCTTATGATGTATTAGCAAATAGGAAGTTACTGCAAAATCATATTCTTTATATATTTAACTTTGTAAGCATAACTACTAAAAATCCTACGTTAGAACAAAAAAACTTACGCCCCACTGGATTTACAACCGAAAATTCGATCGTATGCGAGAATCAGTAGAGCCAGACAAACAAGGTAAGACGAGCCAATGGGTGGAGCAATAGATTTTGTTAAAAAATCCATAGTTTAAAATGTGCCAGAATTAAACAAAAAAATTTTATTTCATGTCTCTACATTACATTGCAAAATTATTTATACTAGAAAATTTTAGTAGAATAAAAAAATTATTTGCATAGCCCATCTACAAATAGGTCAAAACATAAAGAAAAAAAAAATAATTCGCCTATTTTAGAATTTTGAAACATTTATTTCTGGGGATTTTTTTTCATTTAGAAATTTCTCAAAAATTTTGATGGTTAACAGTTTTTTATGTATTTTATGTACCAAGTTTCAATTGAAAAACGAATGGATTGGAAGATTGTATTTCATTGGAGAAATTTCTTCAATTGGATATAACAATATCAAACTCTCATGATATAATGACCGTCCTTTCAGTAATCATTGTTATGACCTTGAGATTTAATAAAAGCACTTGCTCTTTCACAGACAGGGTATCTGCACATGAATCAGGGCAGATACTTCATCGAACCATTGCACGGAGACGAACCGGACGCTAGTGGCCAGCACGTACATGTCATTTACAAAAAAGAAGCACCTCATGAGACTTTCGCCCATTCGAGTGATGCCTTTTGTGGAACTAGTGGTAGGTGCTTATGATAAACCTTTATATTTTTTGCTCGATCTTTGTTACAACATCCAACTTTTGATATTCAGGACTATCGAACAGATATGTCAGGATTAACTCGTATTGGTCTAAAAGTTAATTCGAAAAACTTTGTAAATCAATAAAGGGATTTGTCCAAAAAGCTTTAAAAGTCTATTAAAATTATAGAACCGTAGAATTTATTCAAAGTTTTGAGCTCGACAGACTTTGTCTGATTTCAAAAATCAATGAGACTTCAAATAACATTGATGCTCATTATTTTGACCTCCATGATGTCTCTTTTTTAAGTATTCAATGAAAGGTGTTTTTTTAAAGACTTGGTATTTTCTGCTACTGAATAAGTCATTAGATGATTTCTGATAAATTTAAGAATCTTTGAAAAATTGTTTATGAATTCAAAGTTTTTAGAAAACTTTGAGCGATTTAAGAGTACCTCACCAAGTTATACATTTTTCTTTTAGTACCTCTTCATTCGGATAATTCATTTTAACCATCGTAATGAAAAATCTACTACTAATCTTTTCCTTGCTAATCGGTATCTTAGCTTATTTTGTTGTCAATTAGCAGTATCAACAGTTATGGTAATTATAATGATTATTACTGTCATGTATACTGGAAGTTTGGCATTATTTTATTTTACAAGTAATATTTTGGGGATAAATTGTTACAGTCAATCATATTACGACTACAAATGTGTTCACTTGGTGTGCAAAACTCACCAAAAACTTCAAAGTTCCTCCAAAGTCATTTACCCTTTTCGAACTATGAAATTTTTTATCTCTTAAAGGGGCTTTTGATCGACACTTTGAAGTAAGAAGCACCTCGAAACTTAAATAACACACTCCACCTACAAAATTATATTCTTTTACAACTGTCGATACGGGAAACGTAAGAAAATCAATTCGAAACGCTTTCTCGGAATTTCCAAACGAAAGCACCCAACTTGAACTATTATAAACCTTGGACTCGCACGTACATGCCTCCAATGGCACACTGGACCGACAGAGTGAGCAGCATTAATCATCTTGCCATTTGCAAACAGATGACTGGGAGGGCGCGTGGACCTCGCGACTACAAAGGACCGGTACCAGCGCAGAGGCGATCGAAGGGGAGAGAGCGGTTAGGGGCCGGCAGTCAGCGTCGTCGGGCACGCACAGCATCCATCGTTACATCGAGGTCGCGCTCGTGGCCGACCGACGCTTCCTCGACTTCCACAACGGCACGAACTACGAGCTGTACCTACTGACTATTATGAACATGGTCTCGGACTTTTATCACGACGCCAGCGTCGGCAATCAGATCGATGTAGTCGTCGTGAGGATGATTTATCTAGAAAGGCAGAGGAACGAGGTGCGTGTTTTTCGTAAATACTCTCTTAAATTTGGAGATGTAGATGATGGAAACTTGTGATTCCAATGATCAGATTGACTTGCACATCAGTACGGATGGAGAAAAGACGCTGGAGAGCTTTGCCAAGTGGGTCGAGAAGCTCAACCCCTTGGATCCGGAGCATCCAAATCACTTTGACGTGGGTGTTCTGGTCACGAGGTGGTTATTTTACAATGGATATTTATTTTTTTTACCAAAGGGACCAACTGTGTCATTGATTTTTCGCGCTTCCACTTATTAGATACGACATATGCGCTGAGGGAAACAACTGCAACCTCTTGGGTCTGGCTTACGTAGCCGCGGCGTGCGAGCGCAAAAAGGCTGCCTGTATCACCGAAGACTCCGGACTCTTGCTCAGCGTCGTGATGGCTCACGAGATTGGCCACATGTTAGTAAATAGCATCTTTCTCCCAGCGAGGATACGGAAAGCTGTTTTTCTTTTGCACGATAAAAAGCTCCTGGTTGATTAACGAACTTGGGTGCAGTCTAGGCTGCGCTCACGACACCAAAGACATCAGCGGATGCAACTCACAGGATAAGGACGGCAGCTATTTCGTGATGTCACCTATTGTTTTTATTTTCACAATCAGATGGTCTAGTTGCAGTCGAAAGTTTATCACTTCTTTTTTGGAGTAATGCCCTTAACTTTAATAACGCAGCTATGATGCTGATGAAATAAAAATTTGACGACTAGTGTTAATTTTTATGATTTTCAGGAGCGGTCTTGGAGACTGTTTGAACAATAATCCGAAAAATCCTCCAGCCAGGTATAGGTATCCTAATATGCTGCCTGGAGCCATGTACGACGCAAACCTTCAGTGCGATCTGGACTATCCAGGCTCAAAAGTCTGCAGTTTCAAAAGTGTAGATCTCTTATCTTTGTGTGAAAAACGATATTTTATCCTTACAAAGTTCACATATAACTTTCATTTATTGATAATCAGGGTGAGTGTGGGAACCTTTGGTGCGACGTAGGAAGAGGTCGATGCAAATCTAAGGGCGCCCCTCCAGCTGACGGTACCAAATGTGGTGAGAATCAGGTATGCTTCTTGTTATTACGAGGAAACAAGATTCATATTCTTATCACAAAGAAGAGCCATTGCTTTCGAATATTTCCAATATCTTGACCAGTTGAATCTTGAACGAGTGTTTTGGTGTAAGATTTAAAGTTGCGGTATTTAAGGATAAATTGGCTTCTTTTGCTGAACAATAGTTTCGTAATCAGGAAAATTGGAAAGCCTAAACTATAAAATAAACAATTATGTAGTATCTACTCAATTTGTAATAGGAACTTTATGTCAGGATAAACTTAATATCATTAAAGATATACCTTACTTACCCCACTGACCTATTAAGAAAGTAATTAATGAAGTCTCCTCTTCACTAGCTTCTTGGTCGGGTCAAAATTTAGCAGATCACAACATAATTGGTAATGGAAGCATGACTGTTTATTCGAAACTTTAATTAAATCGTCCAATATTTGGATGCCCTTCAGACATTCTTTTCATAGAATACCATAAAAATACCGGGAAAATACACAGTTGGCATTGTAGAACAAATAGTTAAAATTAATTCATAGACACGTACGATAGGATTATATAGGGCATAAAATATTGGAAGATTTTATCAAAATTTCAAATGAATAGTCATGCTCCAACTACCAATCTGTTATACAAAGCTTCAATTTTTATTAAAAAACGATTGTATGTACATGTTTATTTGAAATAACGATTCGGTTCTACAAACTACCGACCGAGACTAATCAATAAAGGGAGGAAAAAAAGTTCTGTTCATCAACACAGAACGATATCGCACATGTTTTTTTGTTATCATAATTAATTTATTATGAATCTTAGCAAAAGTTATGCTCTAGTACATGTTTGTACCGTTTGTGATGTGCAGCAACTTTGTTTACTTGAAAACTAAGGTATGTAATAGCAAGTGTCGTAAACATATTTTAAGATACAAATCGATTCATATTTGATGCACATACAAACAAACTTACTTTTTGTAGCCTTTCTATGTCCTTATGAATGTCTTTTAATGAGCTTTATCAAGAACTTTCAAGGTTATCGTAGTCGTCTTCTATGCAGTTGGAAAGTAGCGTTGATGCATGACAGCACTAGCAAAGTTGCATATTGCTACTATGTGTTTCGCCGTAGAATTTTTATAAGTCATGTCGTTTCTTTCAAAATCTGTTTGGGTTCTCGTTCACGAGTAGATTAATTTCTGGATTTTACTACTCATTAACGAAACTAAAGAGTAGAGGTAATGAGATTTGCTGAGTATTAAAAGACTGGCTTGGATTGTAGCCTGCTAAGTATAAGAAGCAGCAGAAATGTAGTTTTAAGACAATATTTCAGGAGAAGAGACTTCGTGTCATATTGCATGTGATATTTGAGTGAAACGCAAAGCAATTGAGCCAGAAAGGTAGACCAACTTTTTCTGATCGCAATGTTATTCACGAACTTTAAGATGATTGTTCAGGATAATAAAGTTAAAGATTATTACTTTTTTTTAGAAAAAATGCAGACGTTTTTATACTTCGCAATAATAAAATTCTTATTTTTAATCAGTAATGGTTTGCTGATTTTTATACTTTAGTCACAATATTTAAAAAGGATATCAGAAAACTTTGAATGCATGAAAAAATGTATGTATTGAATAGAAAGAAAAAATCTGTTCGTATAGACTGACTAGAACCCTCTTACTTAAATAAAAAGAAATACTTTGATTTCTTTGTAAGGAAAACTGTTTAGTAGAAAAATTAAGGATTTGAATCAATGCATAAGAAACGTATAAAGATAATACATACAATATAAATTTGATATAAAGAAAGTGCTTTGATGTGTCTTCATAACATATTTTAGAAAAATCTAATTAACTTTAGTCGATTACTGTAAGAATAATTTTATGTAACTTCCTTGATCAAACGATTTTAAAAGCTTCTGAATCTGATTAATCTCACCTGGTTTAACAAAGCTTCATATCTAATTACTTGAATTTTTTCCAAAGAATAAAAACAACATGATCATTGTGAATGCTACGCAATTCTTTGCGTATTTTACTTCAGTTTAAAATTTTGGGACATGTGTAAAACAGTGAAAAAAAGTGCACATATTCATTTAGAGCTAATTCATTTATCTCTTAATATGAGTCAATTTTTTCGATTTAAAATTTATATAAAATATCACATGTATAGAAAATATACATATATTATTTATTGGTAATGTAAAAATTTTAAAACTCACAACATTAGCTATCCTTATAAAATAAGGGACTCAATAAACAGCTTTTTTAAGGACGCATGAAGAGCATAGTGTTTCCCAACACATTCACGTTCACAAAACTGATAATAGATGTGCGAAAATACGCTTGCAGTGGTGCATTCATAAAAAATGTGTGGAAGTGGGCTCCCGAGGGGACGCAGCGCACGGCAGCTGGGGAAACTGGGGTGGAATGAGCAAGTGCTCGCGCACCTGCGGCGGAGGGGTCAGGTACTCCGAGCGCGAGTGCAACAATCCAGCGCCGGAAAACGGCGGACGCTACTGCATCGGCGAGCGCAAAAAGTTTTCCATCTGCAATGTCAATGTGAGTTGGCTTATCGCTATTATTTCCGGCACATATACAGGTGCGTGCTATACTTGCTTTCTTCAACTCCAAACGGCAGATTGGGAAAAACTTTGGGGCACTATGGGATGTTTATTTTATTTCTCGCGATACACGTATCAAGCTGTAAAGTGAGCTTTTATTGCATCACGAACAAAACAGATCCCTTTTCATCTACGTGCGCACATAGCTTGATCCGGATAAAGAGACCTTCAAACCTTACGTACGAAATCTCCTGCGATCCGAAACAGATTTACACTCATACGCATATTTTTTTCCTCTCGAAAAGCTTATCTTGCAAAAGAGCGTGTATGTATACATGAAATTCAAAGCAGCATCGCTAAGGCTAAAAATAGAGTTCGCCGGGAGCACGAGCGAGATAATTTACGTACTCCCTGACTCGGCCCACTGGCGCTTTATCGTCGCTTCGCCATAAAGTGTACGCGTGTTTGCAGCCGTGCGACGCGTCCAGGCCGTCCTTCCGAGCGGCTCAGTGCGCCGAGTTTAACAAGAAGAACGTACTGCCTGGCGGCCCTCACCAGTGGGAGCCATTCTTGCGCGATGATCTTGAGGCTTGCTCGCTTTACTGTATCAACCAGGCGCGCACTTTTGTCAAACTTAGCCCGACGGCCAAGGACGGCACGCCTTGCAAGCCGGGGACCTATCACGTGTGCATAAGCGGCGTTTGTCGGGTAAGGACTCGAGTGTTGCGTTTTACGCGTAATACGTGCACAGACTATTTTGCTCGGGACATTCTTCTTTTCCTCCCTCCTTTAAATGAGCCAAGGAAAGCATGATGTGAGTGAGCGTGAAATCGAGTATTGTTTATCCCTCATTTTACTGGCTGTATGATCGTCTTAACAATTATTGTTTATAGGTTTTTGTGTGCAATAATAGGTTCATCCTGTTTAATTTGTTGGGTTGGAAAAATCCTTGACTTTTTTTTTCATTAACATTTCACGCAAACAAACATCACCTTAGATGAATTTAGCAACATTTGCGAAGTAATACAATTTGTACACTTTAGAAACTGGATGGTATGTTTTATCTTTTTGCCAGATTCCATTCACGTGAAAAAAAAGTATTCATCAAACAGTTTTTGATACTCTACCTTACGGACACTATCGATTTTCCTCTTACGAGGACTGAATCATATCGGTCAACACCAACTTTACGGTTGATTGCGTTTTTTAATTTTGTTCATAAAAAAAGCTCTGAGGCTTGCTCCATTTAAACTGAAATTGTTTTTCTTCAATTCACTAATATTGTTAAATGATGTGCACTATCAACTTACAGATGGTCGGTTGCGATTGGGTTATCGATTCGGATGCTGTTGAAGATGTCTGCGGTGTGTGCAACGGCGGTGGCACGCAATGTGCCAAAGTTGAAGGAGATTACAAGGACGTCGGAAAACCTGGCAAGTCATTGACTTATTTGTTGCTGGTTAAGGGGGGTTATAGCAGTACAGTAAACCTTAAAAGTTAGTTTTAGTTGAATATTTTTTCAGAATATTATTATCCTTGATATATTGTCTAAAACATATAACATAGTGTTATAAAATAACATGAAGAACTGGTAAAAAAGTAAATGCCTTAAAATAAAATTCATATCCAATATTTCCTTCTGTCTTGTACAATAGTAGAAATATTTTAAGTATTGCATTCAAACTTTAAATCACAATATCTCTCCAACAAAGCGGCTAGGCTTATTAAATTTTTTATAGGTCATATAATTTATCTTTTCCAGTAGCATAGCCGTTTGTTAACACGTTTGTCAAAAGTATGTTAAGTTACTGTTGAAAATAAGCATTTCGCGATGACGTCTTCGTAAGAGCTGTGTTTGAGCGTACGTATTATTTTACGCAATTTTTTTCCAACACATGGTGAAATTATTTTCGCTACAACCCTCTTAAACTTATTTCTTGATGACACTCATTTTAAATATTAAAAAAAATTTGCTTGAAAATATAAAACAAAAATGCTGTGTAATTACACCAAGGGACTTCCATACTCGCTTCACTTATACGATTAACCTATGCTTCTCAGTCCTTTACTCTTCACTGTCTGTATAAGCTCACTCCCGGATATAATTATTCTCTACATTTTGGAATCTTTCGCCATTCACATAAATATAACCTTTTAATGCTCAGATCCGTTCATCTCTAACTTCCTTGACCCATAACGTGTTGGTACGCAGTGATAACAGCATCGTTTACTCAAAATTTCCGCTTTGAATAATAATGTGAACCTACACATATTTCGAAATCCCCAACTATTCGAGTTTAAAATTGGGAGTCACTTTTTCGTATCGTAAGTGCAACGAGTAAGCGCATAAATGCCAAATTAATTTATTATTATCTTGAAGTATAAAATTGCTACACAAATATGGAAATTCCATTTAACGCACATAATGACAGAAATCTTGTATGAAAATATGAGATTTGCATTTTATTTTTTTGCACAGACTGATTTATTCAATTTAGTATTTTCAGAAGGTAAATTTTACTTGTATACAGTAAAAAGAAACATTCATCTTTTCTACAAAGGGTACTTTGCCAGACGTTGATTTCAACTCGTTCGTAAAAGTTAAATTATTTCACTTATTCTTGTAAAAAAGTGAAACATGCCTATACTCTTTAACTTTTAAATGGATTGACTCTCTTTGCTTTTACAAAAAAAATGAGTTCACAGGTTCGTTCTGTGTTAAAAGTAAAAAGGGATTTTTCATCTCAAAAAAGCAAAAATCATACAACAAAATATTCTCCAAAGAGCGATATTATCATTCCAATCTCGACATCACCATTTTTCAATCTTTTAGCCTCAAAATATATGTACAGACATTTTCCATTGTTGATTGATAAAAATTAAAGTTACATTTATTTCAAATTTCAATATGGATATGATCGATTGTATTGGAAATATCGATTGCAGGGTACGCCACGATTGTTAAAATACCAAAAGGTAGTAAAAACATTGAAATAGTTGAAAATGACGAGGACGAAAATACATTGGCAGTTAAGTTGGAGAAAGAAAAGAAATACTGCTTGAACGGAAATCTGTGAGTTTTGCAAAAACGAATATTGATTGGTTATGAAGATTGCTTTTTACAATCTGCATTGAATAATTTTTCACAGTAAAGAGCAGAAAAGTGGGGATTATCCATGTGCAGGTGCAGTTATAACGTACAAACACATCAAAGCAAATTTGGAGGAAGTGTACATAAAGGGACCACTGAAAAAGGCCATAGAATTGCAAGTAAGTATTATAAAGTTCGCATAATTTTGCTGGAAACTTAAAGGACTAAAAATGAAACATAGATCTAATGTCATTGCGTGTAGTACGTATTCTATAAGTCAAGCAATCCTGGAGTCCATTATAAATATTATGTGGACACCCCAGCTACGTCCTACGTGCCCACGTATTCGTGGGAGTTCGTANCTGAGTCTACTTCTGCTCGAATACATATTAATCTTATAGTTGACTGTAAGTAGTGTAGGATGCAAATATTTATTCATAATTAAAAATGTCAATTATTATTAGTTCCTTACATGTTTTTCTAGTTATTTTAACTGACCCATAAAATTTTCACGTAGCTAAATACATATTCTATAAGTCAAGCAATCCTGGAGTCCATTATAAATATTATGTGGACACCCCAGCTACGTCCTACGTGCCCACGTATTCGTGGGAGTTCGTAGAATGGACCGACTGTGATGCCAAATGCGGTGGTGGAGTAAAGGTACAGCGTAGAATAATTCGTATGAAAAATAATTAATTACTCCTCTCTAAAATCATTTCGATTTCGATGGTTGAATATTTAATATTTTTACTTGTATGTATTCATAAACGCAATTACAAGAGCTGGGGTGTGCAAACTGTACTAAAAGAAGTTGAAAAGTATACATGCAAAGCGCAAGAACCAATTAAATTGATAATTCTTAGTTATCATTAGTATTTTTAGTCAATTAATCTTCAATTAAGCAATTAAAATGTTTCATGAGCCTTTTTTTCAGAACATTCAGCTACAGCCGAATCAAAATAACTTTTTCTTGAATGGTCGCTTTTAGTACTTACGGGTATCAGATGGTTCAAACAGTTTTGTTTTATAATAGTCCACCATCATACAGTAAATATTATATAAAGCCCCTTTGACTTGCACCATTAAAGGGTAGAAAATTTATAATGAGGTACAAACTTTTGGAAAGACCCCACGTAAATCCTATAATCATGAGAGCTGCATTAAATGTCCAAATAGCTCAATGATTTTTATTATTCAAAATTTCCGCTTTGAATAATAATGTGAACCTACACATATTTCGAAATCCCCAACTATTCGAGTTTAAAATTGGGAGTCACTTTTTCGTATCGTAAGTGCAACGAGTAAGCGCATAAATGCCAAATTAATTTATTATTATCTTGAAGTATAAAATTGCTACACAAATANCATAAGTAAAAAATTAAATAGTTTCATGAATTTATTCGGCACATAAATTTTTTTTTGGGAGTGTTAATGTATGTTTATACGGGCGTACATATGTCGTGCCTAGTTATTCTACGCTTAACTTTAACCCCAGGGTTTAACATTAAAATGCAAAAATACATCAAAATATTAATTGTCTTAAGGGGACTTTTTTTGTTATGAAACTGATTAAACTATGCCATGGTCTTGTTTGGTCCCAAGTTTTATTATTTTTAACTGATTTTACTATTTTATCAGTTTTGACAGATATCTTGATTTTGCAAATATATTTGAGGAGATTACTCGAACATTAATGCAGTACAGTACTATTCTGGATATGAATAGTACTGATACATTCACATTCGCAATAATATGTTTTTCGGAATCATGCCGATAAATTTTACAAAAGAATAATGTAAAACAAATATTAAATTTTGTATGTACATATTCACATGCAACTTGATTCAATGCGCTTGCAAGTAATAATGTGCGAGATCGATTAATATTTTTTGTACAGATTATATTTTACCAAATCAGTGGGGTTGCAAAAGGGAACATGTTTTTTAAACGTACTCATTGACTTTTCAAAATATTACTGCTAATACTCAATATCTTTTTAGAATAAACATCGCACTTTGTATTGATCAACTACTTGTTGCTATCAAACAAAAAATCACAATGAATATCAAAAACCTTGTGACGCTACACCAATAGCATGTAAAACTCAGTCTTGTCTAACACAACTTATCCAAATGTAATCATCCTTGACATCTTTCTCATAAGATCCCTATCCATCAGATCTCCGAAGCAAGCTGTACGGAAGCTCGAGCGGGCAAAGTGGCTCCCCGTTTCTGCAAAACCATTGTCAAACCACCCCCAAAGAGCCAGACGTGCAACAAAGCCCCATGCCGTGCCAAGTAACTAAAAACCCCCAGCTACACTTTGTCCCTGTTTTCATCGAAAAGCTCACCAAAAACCCCTCTTTTAGGTGGCGCGTGAGCCAGTGGAGCCGATGCAGCGGCTGCGGCGGCAAACCAGGCGAGATGCGCCGGAAGATCCAGTGCGTGCGTCCAGGAGCCCACACGGGTAATGACTACGTGCAGGCGAACTTCGACGCATGCAAGGGCGAGCCGCCGGTCCAGACGCGCGAGTGCATCGGTGCCGAGCCCTGCCGCAAGCCCTGCTCACCAAGCAACGTGATCGGGCAAGTGAGCTTATCGCCGTGGCTCCAGCACCGGATGATCGATGATCTCGTGGACTACGGGCTGGTGCGGTACCTCGAAAAGTCGAGGGCTGCCAGCGAGGACGGTAAACAGGAGGAAGGCAACGAGTTCGAGGTGCAGATGCTGAAACAGTGGGCCAAAGAGGAAGAGGCTGCCAAAAAGGAGGTAAGCAGGAGGTCATGTTGGCGGAACGACCGTTGGACACCTGGTATATTTCATGATGCCGTGTATCCATCTTATAGGCTAAGCGCGCTTGTAACGCTACCAGATTTACCACGCCGGTGCCAGGCAGCATAGTGGTCGACTCGATTCCTCAGTCAGAAATAGTCGTCTACGAGGCACCTCTGGTCCAAGATGGGACTCACTCCAACATGTCCGACTCGAATTTCCAGAAACAGGGCGACAGAGCACTTGGCGGATCGTTGGACAAAAGACACAAGAAGATACACCGAGGCAAGGAAGCGATCGAGAGGTTGAGCGTAGTAGATCGGCATGGAGGTGTGAACGAGAGTGTGCCCAGGACAGGGTTGGCAGGTTGCGCTCGGAGAGGTAGACGACGCCGGAGACAAGCTGAGACGAGGAGGAATGCTCAGAGGAAGATGTGAGCTGTTTGTGGTTGGTGGCCGCAGTTTTTGCTTGTTATCAGTTTTTACATGTTACAGTATTGATGTGTTGATTGTTGTATTTGCAATTTGCTGAGGTTTAATAATAATCTTGTTTTAGCACTTAATGATTCGATGATAACGAGCAACTTGCAAACTAAATTATTTGCCTTCAATTGATCATAAATTAATTAATAATCACGTAATATGTGATATACAAATGTTTTGATTTAAGTTTACAGCATTCTTTGATCGTTCCATAGTTAACTCAACATTAAATTAAGAGAAACTATAACATGAAAGAGTATTGCTGTTGGCGTAACTGATTTAAAATAATTGCATGCAGCTAATACTACAGCTTATGTCGTTTTTTTTTCTAGAAAACAAAAGAATTCCAAGATGAAAATTAATGTAGAAGAATTTCATGAAACATAGAAAATCCGTGGTATAAGATTCAATCACCAAGTCAACACAAAATAAGTGTCTTACCAAACTTGTCTGAGTCTACTTCTGCTCGAATACATATTAATCTTATAGTTGACTGTAAGTAGTGTAGGATGCAAATATTTATTCATAATTAAAAATGTCAATTATTATTAGTTCCTTACATGTTTTTCTAGTTATTTTAACTGACCCATAAAATTTTCACGTAGCTAAAAAAAAAAAAAAAAAAAAAAAAAAAAAAAAAAAAAAAAACCAAGTTAGTCCGTAGCTCGAAGGAAACATACACGAAAACACAAGCCTCTACTGTACACTTTAATTATCTAAGTACCAGGGCACATTTTATTAAAACGAGTTTGCGGCAATTAGTCAGAAAGGGAGTAAAAGAGAGCGAGGGAAGGAGATAGGGCAGTAGTGGAGCCGTACAACACACTGAGAGATGCAAAAATATTAAATGGACTGTACAGCACAGCATTGCGTTTAGCGAAAAAAGGAGAGAAGGTAGAAGAGAGTAGAAAGAGCAATATGATAACCACTAGGAAACGCTGGATATTCACGCGTTATTAAAATATCATACCGAGGGGCGCTTCCAATGAGAGCGAACACTACCCGTGCAACCAGCTACAGACAATGGCCCTTTGGGAAATTCGAACGACAATGACGCGTGACTGAATAAGCGAAAGCTAATTTTCCCCAAACAGCTTTTAATATTATTTTTAAACAGTTTATAATATTATTTTTTTCTCACAAATAGTTTTTCTCGTTGATGTTAAGTTATTTTGTTATGTTTTATTATTACGCTTTTCAAAAAATTGCTTTGATTCTCAAACATTATGAGTTAGCTTTTACATTTCTTAATACTATTGTCTCGAGGCTGAACGTGTTAATAGTGCAATACGAGTGTACAACATATTGAAATCTCGTGATGTACGGGCTAGTTTGAAAAGGTCAAAGTCTTTTTCAAAACCGCAGGAAACGTAGTTTATAAATGGTACTTGAAGTAGGTCAGAAAGATTTCTTGGTATATTTACTTTGAAAAAGAAACTGTATAAGTTTTTGGTTATTAATAGTTTACATCGTTTTGATGACCAAAAGTATGAATTGTAAAAGATTAGGAAAACTAGATTAGTTAAATATTTAAACGTTGATTGGGTAATATTATTCTAACACTTGTGAGACTTTAATATTAGATGCTGAATGGTGTACAAATACAAATATAGGGAGCAACGCGCACAATAAATAATAGTAAGAGGTGTTTCCATGAAAAAACTTGCAATGTATACAATTTAATGTAAATATACGTCTTACGATTTCATTACTCGGAACCAAGTGAATCTGGTGGATAAAAAGTTTAGTAATACGAAAACGCTTACAGATATTCTACCGATACTGCTAAAGGCATTGAACTGCACTCTATGTCATATGAACTGTCTTTTTTGTAAAATTATAAATCTGTTACCAGTACATCATGACAATCATTCACCGAGTAGTAGAATGACATCACATTCAACCCGTTGGTGGATGTTGTTGACGGCTGCTTGAAGGTATTGGGCAAACACTGCTGAGCAAAATGTCGAAGAGCTGAAGATCAAGTTGGTAATGTTCCACAGTTTAATAATTGTTAAAATTTTTCACCGAATAGTATATTATACGGTTTGGCAAGAAAGTAAACTTGTTGTTGCTAGTGGTAATTTAATATTTAGCAAAAGTTATGTTTTTACAAGTTCAACAATTAAAAACGATAATAAGTGTAACTTGAACAAATTATTTTTAGTATAGAAATCAATTCCGTAGTTTAAAGACAATCTACGATGTAGTTAACTCGAAAAAAAAAAAAAAAACCAGTAAACAGAAAATATTTATATCTACTTACGAGGGAAAAAAAAAAAAAAGTCTAAAAGCCAAAAATACAAAATTGCCATGATCTGTCAATAACCAATAAAGCCCAACACAAATTGCTACTACTGCACGAATGCACCACATGTATGTTACGTATGAGCTTAAACTTTTTCGCTAGCCTAATTGCATTTCTTTTTCTTTGTTACCAAATTTTAATTCAAACTATCTGTCAATGCGGATGTAGATACGCTCTGATCCCCATGCTCCCGTAACCGGCTGGTCCATTGACAATTGAATGCCCGAGAGCTCTTTTATATAGCCAGGACGAAGCCTCCATTGTTTTATCACACACGTCCGTTCATCCAGGCGCTTCTCCCTCAACCCTCAATCCCACGTGGATTAGATATTTTTTCCTGCTACCTGTCCTTTTCGTTGGTAAAAATTATTTTATTTTACCGATGAACAAGAGCAGAACCGCTGGTCCAGCTGGACCTGACAATGCACACTCGTTACGCACTTTGCGAGTTTCCATGCCGCGGTGCTCTTCGCACATTGGATCCATACTTGAATACGTGTGGGTATAGCGTATAGTTTATATATCAGCGTCCGACAGCAGTAGTTGTCTATTGTGCCACTGCATCGCTCTGTACCGATGGGATAGGAGTTGGCCAGCTGAACCGATCCTAGCTTTCAATTGTTTAGGTAGATGCTGTTAACGATAATTGAATAGATTTTTTCGTGCAAATTGGAATTTCAGCCCCTTTTTTCACTTTTCCCCTATAAAGAACGAAACTGTTGGCTCCCGTACTCCTAACCTCATGGGACTATATAACCTGTTACTTTTCTTGTACGCGGTAAATTGATGATACCCTAATTGTCTGAAAATTAGTTTTCTTTATTTTAATTGGTCTTTTCAGTTTTAATAATAGTTCAAAGATTTTTTTAGTATTTACTAGTATTCAACTAGTAAACAATTGAAAACTTTGAATATGTTTCTTATTTCATTACACGTGCTACATTCGATTTTCCGTAATTAATACGGGTATGTTTTAACAAGCTGTGTTAATCGCTTGTACTTCATACTTTGACCTCTAATTATTGTTCGCCGTAACTCTCGAGGGGCATTCAATATTAAGAGAAGAATTTTAATATACACGAGCTCTGAAAATATTAACTGAGATGTGGACAGAGTTTATTAACTACTTCAAGTTTATTTGGTAATTTAATTTTATTGGAGTAACCATGATATAAAGCCGTAGCCGCAAATGAGCAAAAAGATGAAAGCTAACCATGACTATGATTGCATATTTTTATCACCTTATAAATGATTGATGTTCTCTCTAGAACATATATAACAAAAGCATATTTTGTATTAATAATACAATATAAGTCTAATTGCAATGGATTAGATATTTTTTCCAATAACTCCAACGTAACGATCCAAGGAAGTTGAATGCTGCACAACTGTAAATTTGCATGAAATAAATGATATTTTGTCAGTAAATGACAAAAAAATTTCTTTGTTTTGTTCATAGTAACCTACATAGTCTTTAAGTCTTGAGTTTTGTTACTAACGTCTTTTTGATTGAGAAATCCAAATGTTCTATTCGAGGATGAATACGCTCCATTAAACATTTACAGTTGAACTGTTAACGCATCGGTTCAACTCCAGAATAATTAATGGGATATTGTTGCAACAAAAATTTTTTGTAAATAACCTCTTAACGAAAAAAAAAAAAAAAAAAAATTCAAAACAAACAAAAAAAAAATAAATTGCAGAGCTACAACAAACTGAAACGAAAAATTTAACGACTGACAAAGTTGTTGGAGTCGTCTTCTTACATTCCCTCGCAAGTTGATTTAAATTTGATAACAGAAGCAAACAAAGCCTTAAAACTAAGAAATAGCACAAATAAGGTGTGACCAAAGAGAGTAAGTATGTAATACCTCACTACTTACTGAACGTCGTTACAATTACCTTATGCGTGTAAACATCGAGTATAATGTGTAATTCGCATGGCACAAAAAGGGGTACACAAAGCCCAATATTCCAGTCCTTGTCTCTCAACGTGCACACGCTCCTCGTATACGGAAATATTCGCGCCACAAAAACTTTGACATAGTTCCAAAAGTATGCTAGCCATCTTTCCACTAGTGCGCATATTTCCGGAACACCGTGTACGGGCACGCTACCTCTCCCACATGTACCCATGTACAGGCGAGCTTCTTGTAGTAGTCCAACCACTTTGCTACGAGGATGACAAGCACTTTTTCAAAGTAACGCGAAGAATGCCAATATTAACAGCATTATTTGTTTGTTTTGTTTACGGATGTGCATTGTCCAGCTGGTATAATATGAGTATCGTAATTGGATGAAACTTTTGAAGATGGATACTCGGCTGAATTTTGTGTCTAATGAAAATAAAAAGTTCGTACAACCAAAATATGCTTTATTATAGTGAATAAGAGAATTTTTTTGGTGTCGAATATTATTAATAGTATGTACAATACCACCTGACGTAACCAATAGAACCACAATTTTACACAGCGTGGCTTGCAAAGGGCATTCATCCGTAAGCGCTTTTGGAGCATCTCGTCTACACAACGATATACGCGAGACTGGCTGCTTGAATCCACGTTGGATTTCCGCGGGAAAATAGATAGCTTCCCACCCGAGCGGGTATACAAGCTTTGGCTATTTGGTAGGGCGTCGAGCGGAGCAG